CAAGGTCGTACAAACCCAACCATGAAAAGGACAATGGTGGAGTTAGCAACATATTACGGGGTCCCTCGCTCCTCCACAGTACCTTCTCACTCAGTCCAATGCCACACACTATATTTCACTCATTGTAACGCAATATTTATTAGAAGAAAAATTTCTGTTTCTATCAGAAGTCATCTGTCAGTCATCCCATCTTTCAATATGACAATTTCCACGAAGCTCAAATAAATACCCAATATATTGAATAGGTCTATTAAAACTCCTTATATTTATATATTTATGATACCTTGTATACGAGTTAAGTCTATCATGTGATTAACGCTTCTGCTGGGTTTATATTTCTACAAGCACACTGTTATTAAAAATGACAAACTAAAGTCATAATGCATGATGGACTAACAATTGAAATATAAAAATACATTCATAACTTAAGATGAAGCATAGTTTGGTACAGTCGCAGCAGGTTAGTAAAGATGGTGCCAGCACCGTCGGCGCCACTAGGTCCTCCAGCCCACTTGATTCGCTCTTTCCCCCATCACCTTTACTCCAAACTCACCCTTCTTATGAACCCCCACTCAACCAGGCTGACACACTAAGGTCAGTCTTTTATAAACAATAAGGGAACCAGCGAATTGAGACTTTCATTAAGTCAATCAGGTGAACGATCTCGGGAGGGCAAGCAAGTTATCTAGCAAAAGACAGTTACAAGGGACTTTCACTTCTACAAGAACCATTGCATAATGAGACCACTAAGCCAATTGGCTTCTTTACAATATGTGAATCATGGTGACCACTGTCATGGACAGGGAAGCTTTAGAAAGAATGTCAACAATAAAATACAACTTAACATACAATAAAAACAACTACATTCAAACTGGCTTAAATTTAATGTGGTGAATGGACTATAGAAACGAGCTGCGACTGTTGCATATTTTTTTTTATATAAAAGTCTCCTCTTACCCTTCGCTGGACGGTGCGAGTCATAAAAGGTGTATGAGGGAGGGGGAAGGGAAAGGAGATAAAAAGGGAAGTAAAATGAGTAATAATAAAGGTAAATTGAGGGTGTGGAAAGGGTCCAGAAAGGGTACGGTAAAGGGGAGGAAAGAAAAATACAGTATTAGTTGATATAAAGGGAAAAAGGGAACAAATAAGCTAGGGTTATGATCCGTGATATCCACATTACCTATGAACTCGGTGAATTTCACTCCCGTGCGCAAATTTTTTTACTGTTAGTAAAGTTTAAAACATTTAAAATGTAGTGAATATTCGGAGGATTAAATCTGTCACTATTAAGAGGCTGCCAGACAGCCATTTTCCTGATAAAGGCATATAGTAGACTGTACACTGTGTACAGAACCTACAGCGGTAAATATTTCAGGGAAACGTAATTATTTTGAAAAACTTGTCTTTCAAATTTTATATTTACAAATTTTAGGATGGAATATTCAGAATGTAATTATCGGGGACTGAATTTCTGTTTGATTTCTTTCACCGAGTCGAAGGTTGTGTTAACTTTATACAAGACGAGATCACGAATAATTCCCCAAGTAAATAATTCACTCACTACTAGTACCACGAACTAAGACAAGTGATATAAATTATTAACACTATGCAGGAGAGAGGTATTGTGTTAGTTGCAACACTAAACTATGAACTTTGCAAAAACTTAAGAGAAACATTCCAGATACAGAGCATCATACGTAAGTATAAATAAACTGACGCCTAAAATTAAACTGTATAAGAGCTCTGTCATTAAAATGTGCTGTAAAATTCTGTTAAAACAAAAGAACTTACCGAAGAAGCACCTTGGCCATGAAAGGACATACAAATAATTTGAAAGTTTAAATTGCAGAGGATGTCTGTCTGTTTTAATATTGAGCAAGATTATAGATAAAAAAAAGTTACGTTTTAGTGCAAACTTTTAAACAAGGTTTTAATATAAAACTTTTTTTTTTTTAAGTCAAGAAGGAAAACTGACACCGCAGCCTCAAGCTTAGTTAATCAAGGAGGAAGAAAATTTTTATTTCACAGCATTAAGCTCAAGAAACTACGGCGATACAATCCAGCAGCATCACAGCATGAAGCTTAGCCAATCACGAATGCACAAAACTATGATGTCACAGCACTAAGCTCAGCCACTTACTGAGATACAAAACAATGACGTCACAGTAATAAGTTCAGCCACTCATCGAGCTTAGCAAATGCTTTATTTTCCTGCTTTTGAAAAAAAATTCCTCTTCCAAACTACTGCAGTTAAAAATTTATTTTGAGATTATGTATGACTCCAGGAATACCCTCCAGGTAGACTCCAGGTAATCCAAATGCAAATCTTCTATATAAAGTTGCCTTTGCGACCACAATCCAGATTACGACAAATATTAAAAGTCCTAAAATCTGATGATTATTATAAAAAGGCGGAGGAAACAATGTGTCTAGAGATAGGTGAAGGTGGGGGTAGTCTACGGCGTTGTACAACGGTGGACCACGGCAGCAGCGACTGCTGCACTCAGATCGTAGTGCATCCACTCAAATGACATACAGCACTGTAATGTAGGTTCACTGAGCACTACCAAGACCACTTCACCTATAGTGATCACACCGCTACACTTTCTAGAGGTAGTCTAGATAATTGCTCAAGTCCTTGATTCTCTGCATAGTCATAAGCTACATAATCAAAAGCAAAAACAAATGATGGAACCTCAAGATACAACTCAGAAACGACGTCATTATAGTTTAGAAAACTGTAATGTATTAAACTATGCATCATCAGCTTCCATTACTACCGGGGTAAACTTGTGACACATCTGCAAGCTATATGATTCATGAAGACGACTGACTGCTGTATAAACTACATGCTCGTAAACTTGTCGCACGGTAGTGTGCAAGCTTACATTAGAACGTGCGTAAGTTTATAGTAACACGTACAAAAGCATACAGTAACATATGCGTTGTTCCCTTATACTAACACATGCGTAAGCTTATAAATAACATGTGCGTAAATTAATACTAACACATCGCAAGCTTACAGTAACATGCGCAATCTTTCTGTAACATGCTGACTATTACTCTGAATCGCCTGCGACACAACTACTACCCTGAAGCATAAAATATAATCGGCAGAAATTAATTAATATAAAGCTGAATATTATAAAACTATAACAGTTAAAAACTCTTACTACAGCGTTAATAAACATCAACGTTCAAGCCAAAACAAAAAAAATAATACAAATCAAAATTCCAAAATGGCGCTGCGGAGAAATGTGAAAACTAACAAATAAAATGAATGTGAAATAAACTATATAAATATTATATAGCTGGAAAGAAAGCCGAATATTGGAGACTGCTGAGGCGGCAACTTAAGCATGATCTGGGGTGGGGCTGGCCAGGACGGCCGGCCGGCCACCTTTACCTACGCACACACACCTGCACCCCCACACATACACACTTACTACGGGTGAGCAGCTGGAGTCGTCGTTGTAGTTGTTGCACACCGTAATGCACGTGTAGCGCTGTAAGGGAAGACAATGGTCCACACCGATTAGCCTTCACTGCAGAATTATCATAAGCGAGAGATGGAAAGGGAGGGAAGTGATAGATGATAGAATGATGTAGGGATGAACGGGAGATAACGTGGGAAGGGTGGCTGATATAGTGGGTAAAAAAGTAAATGCAGAATAAAACAAATGAAAAGCAGGTGGATCATATGCCCACTTCGCGAACACGGTGGACACATCCTTAGTCAACAAGCAAATGTAAGAAATACTGTTGGAATAAAGGTAAACAGTTTCAAGACGAAACCGAACAATTCCCTACAGAAAGTGCCGTAGCAGTTAGTTCTAATGGCTATTTAGCCCTGGTAAATCCTTAATAATACTGATTGCTTCTACTTGATGGTCAGAAGTCACCCAATGTCTTCACCACTTGGCTGACCTGGCACCGTGTACATCTTCACTTGACTGACCTGGCACCGTGTACATCTTCACCACTTGGCTGACCTGGCACCGTGTACATCTTCACCACTTGGCTGACCTGGCACCATGTACATCTTCACCACTTGGCTGACTTGGCACCGTGTGCATCTTCACCACTTGACTGACCTGGCACCGTGTACATCTTCACCACTTGGCTGACCTGGCACCGTGTACATCTTCACCACTTGACTGATCTGGCACCGTGTACATCTTCACCACTTGGCTGACCTGGCACCGTGTACATCTTCACCACTTGGCTGACCTGGCACCGTGTACAGGAACCTCACATGAGGGGAGAGAGCCTCGCTCCTCTCCAAAGTAGGCGAGAAAGATGCATCGTAAAGTACACCTGGAAAATTGAGGAAGTATTGGTCCCAAATCTGCACACCGAAATGACTCCCTACAAGACCAAGAGGGTCGTCAGACGGCGCAAAATACACTCAATGAAAAGGAGGAGTGCAACGAGTGCAAGATGTAACTTAATGTGTATATAGGAACCAAGACTTTTCAACATCCTCCCTCCATACATAATGGAATTACGAGCAAACCTCATAGCTATCTTTAAGAGTGATCTTGGTAAGTTCCTCAAGTTAGTTCTTGATCAGCCGAGTAGTGGTGCTTGCGGTGGGCTGCGTGGCTTGTATATAGATCCATCAACCAAAAGCCCCTGGTGCAGGACCGCACCGCGAGGACAGCGACCCCCGAAGTGGTGTCTAGGTACCCTTAAGGTATTTCGTGATAAGTGCTAGGGCAGTATGATGAGTGACAAGCACACTGGCGCTTTTGTGATAGAGTTGGAGTGTAGGGGGTAAGGCACAAACAACGAAACATAAAACATATTTACTAGAGATGGGGTAAATACACTGTGGAGTAAGTAATGGAGCTGCCTTGGTCAATACAACACCCAAGTTAATCAAACTGGTAAAGGATGATGTATGGAAAGACACTTCCTTCTTACAACAAATCTTGGGCACGTACCAGATCCATTAACATGGAGGAGTGCATCAACATACTAAAATTATCAGTCTAAAAGCTAAAGAATTTTACATGTAATAAGAAAGTGTCATAGTGGGCAAGAGATCAAAACAGGGACTACACACGTGTTGCAAGATTACTCAACAACTACTGCATAATGTATCAACTTGTGGGACTGGATACACAGGCGACATCGCTATGAGTTTCCACCTCTTAGCAAAAAAAAAAAAAAAAAGCCGAATTAAAAAGCTATCTAGTACTAAATATTTGAGTCTCACACTTTGTTTAGCATAGTCTTCAGACGTGTGACCCTTCAAGAGAAGTGCCGTGATGCCAGTGAAGAACTCCTGATCCAAGGAATTGGAGTTACAAGTTTTTCTCTGGTCACACCTGATCATTCCTTTCCCACGCACTTTTCTCATTCCCCAGTCTCTATTTGACTACTTACATGTGGATTGGTCTGTGCCAGTGTTCAGTCCTTATACTACTGTGTTCAGGTTATTTAGTTCAAACACATGTATATCTGAACTAAACACTTAGATTATTATTCATGACATGCACATCTGCGACAGGTTTGCTCGTAGTAAGTGCTTGTGATCACCGAACTCTTTATCTATCACTACTACATTTAGCAGTCCTTAGTGCACGCCCAGACAGGCTCGCGTGCGCGTATGCGTGCGTGGGGGAAGTACAGTAAATAGAACTTAGGTGGCGGCGACGTGAGTGGGAGGTGGTGGGTAGTGTTAATGGTTGCACTGAGTATTGGTTGTGGTGTGTTTTGGTGGTATCGATAGGTGGTCTTAGCGGCTGTGGTGATGATGGTAGTAGTGGCTGGTGGTGCAGGTACTAGAGGTAATGAAGGCGTGGTTGATAGCAGTAGCGAAAGTGGTGATGCGTGTGAAGGAGTTAGGGTAGTACTGGGGTGGTGATGCTTATGAGGGAAGGAGAAGTGCTTGTGTGTTTGTGGGGGGAGGGGGGGCAGTGAATGGCAATATGATGGTAGTTCTATGTTGTAGGAGAGTGCGTTGAGTGTTGTGATAAAATCAAGTGAAAGATGAGTAGCACAGGGGAGGAGGTAAGAGGAAAGGGAAGAAAATAAGAGAAGAATCGATGATATAAAATGAAGTGAGAAAACTAAAGGGAAAAAATGTGAAAATACAAAACGGTGAATGTTAGAATAAAAGAAAGTGGATGCGAGTCCTGATATGAAAAGGGGCAAAGAATTTAGATGTGTAGAGTGTGTACAAGAGCAAGTAACATCAACACAGCACCACACCTACCCCAGACGTCTTACACTTCTGACGATGGAAAACCTTATATTCGAACTAAATGCATCATAGAAAATCCAGGAGAATCAGAGGGAGCGAATAGCCATTAACAGCCACTTTAAGGGAGGCGAAATTGTACATCTGGTGAATGTACAGATAACCTTCTCTTACTGTATAAATTTAGTATCTAAATCATTGGGAACACCTAAAGTTAAACGAACTGTACTTCTTGGAACGCAGGTGAGAAAGAACGTGAAAAGTCTCAGAAACATACTAAGAAATAAACTCTTTTTAATTATCGTCTTATGGTTGTAACAGTAGTGAATGTAAGAGCAAACATTGGTGGCCTTCCTATATACTGCAAACTTAAACTTCCTATCAACCCGGTGTATCAACACATCTAAGAATGGAAATTTACAGTCCACCTCTTTCTCCACGGTGAATTTAATAGACGGGATTAAAGCGCTAAGTCTTGGTATCAAGGGCCATATCATTTGGCCAAAGACACAAGATGTCATTCACATATCTGAACCATTTTGCTCTACATGAAAGGATATTTTTCAACAGTCTGGCCACGAAAAATTCCATATACAGATGGCTCAAGGGGGGGGGGGGGGCAACGGATTACCCATAGCCATTCCCTACCTTTATGCATAGTATTTCCCCCTCAAATTTAAACTTGCAATCAATTACACACAACTTAACTCAATTTGTGGAATTTTTCTATTGCTATAATATTAAACCTTTCTGGCTATGGGTACTGATATGCCTGGGGGCATTTCCTGTTCCATTCCCTTTCTCTCTCTCTCTCTCTCTCTCTCTCTCTCTCTCTCTCTCTCTCCTCACTCCAGTGAATACATCCTCTGGGGTCGTGTTGGCTCAGACATCCTCCTTTTTTTTCTGCAACTCTGCAAGCTCCTGTTGATGTGTTGATTGCAACACGAAAGTCCTAGAGCTATCATTCTACTCCGTACGAGGTTGTTTTGCATCCTGTATCGCCTGGCTTGAGATTTTTGCATATATATTTTATTTTATATATATATATAAATATATATATATATTTATATATATATATATATATTATATTTAAAAAATACTGACATTTTACACTGACAAAATATGTAAAGCAACAAATCTGCCAACATTGTTTAATATAGAAGATAAGCGTGCAGCATAACACCACTCACACACAAAGATAATCGTGTTTCCTTATTAGACTAGTTAGTACAGCGTATATCTAGATAAGGATAGTAAGTTCATGCAATACAAACCTCGCCATATCCCCAATGCTGCGTGTAAGCAAAACAAACCAATATTAGCAGAGATTAAAATAAGAGATTAGTAGCAGCAAAGGCGCAAACATTGTAGCTACAATGCTGGTGACACTGACACACAAAAACAAAGACAATAATATTAGCATTCACATTCTACGTGTTAAATATGACATATGTCCATTTAGATATAGATAGGGGCACAAACAATATTTGCATAACAAAATATCAACATCAACATGTGCCAGCGGGCCGCCAACAACAGCCTGTTTGGACAGCCAAGCATCTGAAAAACCTGATCCCAGGCTGGGTTGCTAAGGTTTCTATAGAAAAACTTACGAAACCGGTCTCAAGTATAACAATGTTCACTAATATAGGGAAAACTAATTAAATTAATATTAACAAATACTCTTACGGCCGGCAACCAAACACACCCACTATCTGTCTGCCAGGTTAAATTACTGTAAATGTTTCTAGGACGAGGACTGAACAATACTATCAAGCCATAAATCAAGCTATTTAATATAATTATACTTGAATAATCAAAGAATCTTATTAATGTATATATACAGAAATGAATGTGTATATGTATATGTCGTGCCGAATAGGTAAAACTTGCGATTTTTGCGTAAACAGCAACACTCTTCTTGCCGAATAAGGCAAGCGAAAATTATGTATGCAATAATTTCGCAAAAATCATTTTGAACCTAACGAAAAAAATCATTGTGTTTGTTTATTAAATTATTGTAAAACTTATCTAAAATATATTTAGCTGGATTAGGCTAAATTAAATTGCGCTTGTTATAAAAAGGTTAGGTACGTTTTCTAAGGTTCTTTTGGTACAAAATTATTAATTTTTACATTAACATAAATGAAAAAAATATATATATTTAAATGTATGAGAGAAAATTTTAGGAAGGTCTTAATTTTAAATGAGTTCTTGCTAACTGACCAGTTTAAACTATTCAACACGAACAAGAGCTCTCTCACTGTATTTATAGTGAGAAATGTCTCACACTGTAAGGTGTGCCTCACTGTATTTATAGTGAGAAATGTCTCACACTGTAAGGTGTGCCTCACTGTATTTATAGTGAGAAATGTCTCACACTGTAAGGTGTGCCTCACTGTATTTATAGTGAGAAATGTCTCACAGTGTATATACACTGTAAGGTGTGCCTCACTATACACACACAGAGGTGCATCTCCCTGTATATACGCTGAGGTATAAGAACATAAGAATGTAGGAACACTGCAGAAGGCCTACTGGCCCATACGAGGCAGGTCCTTATCAAAACGACAACTACCTAGAGCTACTCAAGAAACAACTCCAGCACCCCCCAACACCAATCAAACCCAGCCCCTCCCACTCATATATTTGTCCAGTCTCTTCTTAAAGCTACCCAAGGTCCTAGCCTCTATCACCCCACTGGGAAGACTGTTCCACGCATCTACAACTCTGTTAGAAAACCAGTACTTACCTATGTCCTTTCTAAATCTAAATTTATCCAACTTAAATCCATTATTCCTGGTTCTTACCTGGTTCGACACCCTCAGTACTTTATTAATGTCTCCCTTGTTTATGCCCGTCATCCACTTATACACTTCAATGATATCTCCCCTCATTCTACGCCTCTCCAGAGTGTTAGGTAAGCCTCTCCAGAGAGTGGAGATTTAAGGCTTTAAGTCTATCTTCATACGGGAGGTTCCTTACACAGTAAATCATTTTAGTCATTCTTCTCTGTATGTTCTCTAATGAGTCTATGTCCATCCTGTAGTAAGGGGACCAAAACTGAGCAGCATAATCTAAATGAGGCCTCACTAGTGATGTATAGAGCTGTAAAATAACTTTTGGACTTCTGTTACTTATACTTCTTGAGATAAATCCAAGTAATCTGTTGGCCTTGTTGCGCACACTGAGGCACTGCTGTCTTGGCTTCAGATTTCTGCTCACCACGACTCCCAAGTCTCTTTCACATTCCGTATGACCAAGCTCTACTTCACCTAGATTATAGCTTCGAGGGTTATTTTCATTACCAAGGGCAAGTACCTTACACTTATCCACATTAAACTTCATCTGCCATTTCTCAGACCAAGACATTAATTTGTTCAAATCGTCCTGGAGTTCATTGATATCCTCCTCAGAGTGAATTATACGGCCTATCTTTGTATCATCAGCAAACTTACTCATGTCACTAGTAATCCCTTCATCAAGGTCATTAATGTAAATTATGAACAAGAGAGGGCCTAAAACTGATCCTTGTGGAACGCCACTAGTGACTAATCCCCATTCAGATTTCACTCCATTAATGGTAACTCTCTGCTTTCTATTGGTAAGCCATGCCTCAATCCATGCTAGAACTTTACCTCCTATACCATGAGCTGCCACTTTTCTTAAGAGTCTCTTGTGAGGTACTCTGTCGAAGGCTTTACTAAAATCCAAATAAACAATATCATATTCCTTATTACTGTCAATTGCCTCAAATGTTCTATTGAAGAACGTCAGTAAGTTTGTCAGGCAGGAACGACCTCTCGTGAATCCATGCTGAGATTCATTTATCAGTTATGCTCTTCAAGGTGACTTCTGATAATGTCAGCTATAATTGATTCTAATAACTTGCCCACTATAGATGTCAGGCTTATTGGACGGTAATTTGAAGGAGTGGACTTATCCCCTGATTTGAATATAGGAACCACATTAGCCATCTTCCACAACTCTGGCACAACACTGGTAAGGATGGACGCATTGAATACACTCGTTAATGGCTGACTAAGCTCCATCTTGCATTCCTTAAGTACCCTTGAAAACAACTCATCGGGTCCCGGGGACTTATTTTGTTTCAGTTTGTCTATCTGTTTAATAACCATGTCCCTCGTGACAGTAATATTAGTTAACTTAAATTCATCAGGAACCAAATAATTGTTAATTACTGGAATCTCATTTACATCTTCCTGTGTAAAAACTGACAAAAAATAGTCATTAAATAAGGAACACATTTCCAGTTCATTATCCGTCAGCTGTCCATTCCCAGATTTCAGAGGTCCTACTTTTTTCCTTCACCTTCGTCCTATACACTTGAAAGAACCCCTTTGGATTAGTCTTTGATTCATTAGCAACTCTAATTTCATAGTCACGTTTAGCCTTTCTAATCGCCTTTTTTACTTCTCTTTTAAGCTGAACATATTGGTCAGTAAGGTTAACCTCTCCTCTTCTGATGCGCCTATAAATTCCCCTTTTTCTCCCCTAATAGATGCTTTAGCCTCCTGTTAACCCATTTGGGATCGTTATTATTAGACCTAATTTCTCTCTTGGGAATGTATATACTCTGGGCACTGTGTACATTATTAAGAAAACAATCATAAAAGCAGATCCCTTCATATTCATAAGTATGATTATCACCAATAAAATCATTAGCTAGATAACCCCAATCAAGATTAGACAGATGTTCCCTAAGTCCATTATAATCGGCAGAACGAAAATCAGGGATTTTTACTGTATTATCATTATTCTGCATTTCCAATTAATGCTAAAGGTGATGGATTTGTGATCACTTGCGCCAAGCTCTTCAGTGATCTCCAGATTATTCACGAGTGTTTCCTTATTTGACAAGACTAGGTCTAGCAAATTATTACCCCTAGTAGGCTCAGTTACACTCTGTTTCAGAAAACAGTCCTGAACTGTTTCCATGAAGTCACTGGACTCTAGATTACCTGTCAAAGAATTCCAGTCAATTTGGCTAAAGTTAAAGTCCCCTACTATGACTACGTTACTGTGTCCCCGAAGCCCTAACAATTTCGTCCCAAAGAAGTCTCCCTCTATCGTGATCCAAGCCTGGAGGTCGGTATATTACACCTAGAATTAGTTTTTCTTGACCCTCCACGAACTCTACCCAAACAGACTCTGTTACTGCTCCATCTATTTTTATACCTGTTTTTATGCAACAATTAATATTTTCTCGAACATACAATGCCAACTCCTCCCCCCTTCCCATTACATCTATCCACATTGAACAACTTAAATCCCTGAATATTACACTCAGCAGTCATATCCCGACTCTTTAAATCATACCACGTTTCAGTTAATGCAATGATATCAAAGTTCCCAGCACATGCTACCAAACGTAGTTCATTAATTTTATTTCTTGCACTTCGACTGTTAGCATAAAATACCATCATATGTTTTTTCTTCTGCACATTTTTCCTATTCATCTTTGTTTTTACACAATTTTCTGAAATTATCATTACCCAGAGTTACTCCATGACAGTTACATTAAGATTCTTAATATCAGAGCATAAGTCAATATATCCATACTCATTATTAATCATTTCTAAACCCATACCTCTAACTAATCCTAGTTTAAAGTCCTAACAACCCCCTCAACTGAGTTAGCAAGAAAACCCACACCTGCCCTGGATAAGTGAACCCCATCCCTGGCATACATGTCATTTCGGCCATAGAAGTTGTCCCAGTTGTCAATGAATGGTACTGCATTATCCTTACAGTGTTTATCCAGCCAACAATTAATACCAATTGCTCTGGACAACCATTCATTACCAACACCTCTTCTTGGCAAAATGCCACATATAACAGGGCGCCCCCCCCTTCTTCCTAATCATGTCTATAGCTGTCCTGAACTTTCTAACTAAATCCTCACTTCTACGCTTGCCTACATCATTGCCTCCAGCACTGAGGCAAATAATAGGATTGATCCCATTACCGTTCATGATGTTGTCAAGCCGGCTAACAATGTCCTCCATCCCAGCCCCAGGAAAGCATACCCTTTGTCTCCTACTCCTGTCCTTCAAGCAGAATGCCCTATCCATGTATCTAACCTGGCTATCCCAACAACAACAATATTCTTACCTTCCTTGTTGTCGTTCGTCGTGACGATCCCAGTAGTAGACTCACATTCGTCGGGTAGCACCGAGAATGCGTTGGAGGTTTCCACGGGAGTTTCCACAGCAGTCTCTTTCTTCTTCATCGTTTCTGGCTTTCCATTCGTCTTCTTGATCGTCAACTT